TTCTTCCCTTCGTGTCCAATGGTTTTAGCCCCTGTTGACTGTAACTTGTGCTGGTTCTGGTGTAGACGTAAAACTGCGTGTGGTGACTGTGACTTTTAGATTGTTGAGATGGACAAGAAAATAAATAAGTGTGGTAATTATGGTGGAAGTGTATGATCCTGGGTTGGTGGTGGTGGCCTATGGTGATGAAGCGGTAGTGCTCTGGATGCCTAGGTACAATAGATAATAAAGTGGTGGCGTGATGGTGATTAAAGGCGACAGCGGCAAGAGAGTGGTTGTGAGAGAGAATCGGGTGAAATTGTGGGGTATTTGATGTTAATGGATTGGTTATAATCGGGTTTGATTGGATATTTGGGACTGTGCCAGATGGGAAGGGGTTTTGAATCCTGTTATAGAAATGAGCCAGCGGTGTTAGTGTTTGGGGAGTGGGTTTGAATTGGATTAAATGAGAGTGAGTTTTAACTGGGATCGGAAGTAATTTGGGCCACTAGTTTATGGCCCAAATGTCTTGATAAAAGGAATGGGCTCGCCGGTAATAATTATATGTGGATATATGGATTATTATAGTGTTGGGTTAACGTAAAGTGAGCTGATCTTGTATGTAGGCTGAATGTAAGTAGGGTTTGATTGTTAGGAATGAAATTTATGAAACAGCACACTTAGCAACAGCAAACGCCTAAATCTCTAAAACTGAATTTTTTGTTTTGTGGGAACTGCAAAAAATGATAAATAAATAAAAAAAATGAAATTTCGGGTGTGAACAGTAATATTTTTTTTTTTTTTTTGGTGAAACTGCTGAAAAATCTTTAAAAAAAAAACTGAAATTCCGGGTGTGAACAGTACCCATAAACAGTGACTCCTTTTTTTTTTTCCTAATCAACTAGAAAGAAAATTGAACAAAAAAACTGCTACTTCACAACAATTTTTTTTTTTTTTTTTTTTTTTTTTTTTTTCCCCAAGTTCTACAAAAGTAAGTACAAGGAGAAACATCAATCTTTTTCATTGAAAAGCTACGTATAAAGTGAACCTTTCTTATCATGGGCTTGTTTGTGGGAACAATTGTAACTTTAAGCTTGTATATGCCCTCGAATTCTGCACTCTCAGTGGCAGCAGTCCCTGTCATGCCACAAAGTTTTGGAAACTACATCGACAATTGCAGCCAAACATCAGAAACTCAAGCAATAAGAAAAGAACGTCACCCACCAAAAGTATATAAACTAGATTATATGTCCAAATTACACAAGAAGATGACCCAACCTGGAGAAAGAAGTTTTGGTAGCTGATTGAAGCCAGAGTCACGGTTTCATTTTGTATGGGCAGACCTTCTTTTGCTTCGACTGCCTGGTGAAGTCCATCACTCCAGCGCCTCCCCTAAAAGCAATGAAACCCACTGTAAATTTGATGTTTTAAAATTAAAAAATAATAATAATAAAATAAAATAACGCAAATGCACACGTATATATAACATACACACACAAATAAATTGAATTAAAGAAAAAAACAGTTGCTATTCTCATGATGTATACAAATGCTCGCTGATGCAATTGATATGGTGTTGCAATATATGGCCAACTACAATGGTCAAAAAGCTAACGGCTAGCATGGGGGAGGCAATAATCATGGAGGACACGTCCTTTCTATTTTGTTGTCCAGTTAGGTTAATGCTTTTGTTTCATTTGTTTAATTCTTTTAATTATTCTTGCCTTGCCTAATCATGCTATTTACTTTAATTATCTGGATGATTGCATTGGGTGAATATCAATGCCTTAGATTAGTGTGATATTCACTCTTTTAGTCCTACAAAAACCATTGCAGTCAACCATGGAACAGCAGTTGTTTTTATTAAAAAATTGATAGTTGGAAATTTATCCATAATTTTCTTTGATCTTAGTCCACTTTTTCATTTGAAAATCCACTTATTCGTGAGCAACGCTTGTTCTGCATTTTGTCCCAATTAATCTCCGCTGCATCGTTTACTTGCCCATAATAATGTGACTTTATGTTGTGGCTTGACAAATAAAATGATAAATGTAAATATTCATAGTGCAATTCCATGACAAGGCATACTAGTGCTGAGATAGTAAAGCAACAAACTAGAAGCAAGATGAAAAAGAATATGTCGTGCATCTAAAAACAACAAAACCACTCAAGATTGAAACTTTTACTAGCAAGAGTAATTTCATCAGAATCAAAAACACAAAAAAGATTTTAACGTCATCAAGAAGGAAATTGAGCAATTAAAATAAAGAAGGAAAAAATATGATAAGGCAGTGTGAGATCAGTTCAGACACAGGTTTTGGGGAACATCTATGATCAACAAGCTTGCATTCTGAATTTTAAAGTTCTAGCGTCCCAGACAGTTAAGAATTTTCATTTGCACAAACACGAGCAAGCCATATTTGCCAGAGAAGAGAGGGTAGGATGGAAGGGGAGATAAGTCACAGATCGGATGCAATTCCTGAGCTGACAGTTCACCTATATCCTGATATATAGAAACGAATGTATGCACTCAAAAACTGTGGTCCAGATAGAGAGGAATGCAAATTTCATGTTCTTTACCTTGTGTAATCTTTGGACACTAAAAGGAAAATTTAAATAAACTATTTCACCTGCATTACTCGACCAGTAAACTCATCCACTATAAGAACCTCCTTGCCTCGGATAATGTAGTTCACATCTTTAAGAAAAAGTTCTTTTCCCTTTATTGCATTCAAGATGTATGATGCCCACTGTTCTCGGGGATCATACAAGTCTTTTACGTCCAGAATTTCCTCAGCATCTGCATAACCCTGTTCCGTGAGCAAAACAGTTTTTCGTTTATCATCAACCTGCACCAAGGCACAGTCTTTTGGTGAAAAAAATAAAAACGTCCCCGAACAATATTGTTTGCTAGGTAACTAACATAACCTTTGATGTACAAGCAACTTTAATTAATTGCAAAATATGAAAAGCCAAACCATAAAAAAAAGTCACCGGTGATAAGTTGTACAACATATTTATTGTCGCTATGTGAACCAATACGCAGATCAACCTCAAAGAGAGGGAGAGAGAGGTTGTCTTATAAATAGGGAGTCATCATTAGGGTTTCATATTATGATCATCGCGGGGGGGGGACGGGTTAGAGAAAATATGGGGTGCAATTTTCTCTTGTTAACTTCTTTTCATCATAATGAATTACTGCATCGATGGAAGAGGGCGTAGTCCCACATTAAGGCGAAGCTCTATAATTCGTCGTGTTCTATGTGTCTATTTTTCATTCTATGATTTAATTGCTCTTGGTGGTAATAGAATTAAGGTTCTTAATTCTCAATAATTAAAAACTTCTTATCCTACAAGGACTCTGTATTGCTATTTATAATCATATGACAACCACAATGGTTACAACAACACCAATTATTTTATGTTGAGTTTCTTACAGTGTAATGTATATCTCGCTCGAAAGCAGTGGCAATTTTCGCAGCTTTATAGTATCGATCACTTGGTCTTTCAGCAGGCCCTGATATAATGAGAGGAGTCCTTGCTTCATCAATGAGGATTGAATCAACCTCATCGATCACACAGTAATTGAAATCTCCCAAAACAAGTTCATCCACGCTCTGTAGAAAAAAAACAATAATGTCAGGAAGAAGTTTGTCACAAACAATGATCAGGAATATGTAAATAAAGTAATATGGAAAAATTTTACAAAGCAAAACAATTACTTTCCGTGGCAAGATTATCTCTCAAGAAATCAAAACCAAGTTCACTATTTGTAACGTATGTGATGTCGCATAGATAGTTTTCCCTCCTTTGTTCACTTGTCATATTCTCTGCATCATCAGCCAATCATTAGAATATGGTGGGAACCCAATCGTTTGAAAGATGGCATATATATAAAAATATATATATATTATAAATCACGTATCCAATAAAATTTGCATGCATGGAAAATATTGAACTCGGAAAAACAGTGATGATATACGTTGAAACAAAAATGTTTTAATATATGAGCCTGAGAGGGCAAAAGACACAAATCCTCCCCTCCGTCAACCTCGGGAAGGGGGAACCTTTCAATTCCATAAGCATAAGGACCAAATATTCACTTCACCCCCCACACTCTCACTCGCACAAACCACAAAAACTGAATGAAAAAGAGGAAGGGAATGGAGCTTGGGGCTTGGAAGGGGCAGAGGAGGTTCAGGAAAAGCTGGACTTTGATGGGGAATAAAAGCAGGAATTTTTTGTATCCAAGGCAGCATTAGGCCAGATTGGACGCATGGACTAGCAATTGCAAAACAAGCTATCTCATGAATGTGATAGATTAGACCAATAGCCTGATAAGTGTTAACTCGACAAATGAGACTAGATACAGATAATTTGGTTGCCACTTCATGATAGAGAAACTTCTAGAACAAAAAAATTTACACGCCAATCAGAAGATCGATTAGAAGATTATTAACCAAGGATCTTACGGCCTTGAGAGTTGTATTATATCTGTAACAAGCTGGAAACAATGAAATATGTTTGTGTGTGCGCAAATGTACAATAATCAGCTTACAGGGTAAATGTGCATAGAGTTGCATGCAGTAACTAAGGCATTTCCATATCTTATTGTCTCTGGTTTCGTTCCATATTAACAGGAGAAAATAGTGGATTGACATGAAAGAATTAAGAGTCTTAGTCACCTATAAATGAGTTTAGAAAAGAACTTTCTATATGAATTTGAAATCAATATTACAAAGAAATTCAAAAATGTGCAACATGTGTTCCCTTTGGAAGCCACATCAGGAACATTTATATTTCAATTACTTTTCAATAACTACTGCTATGGGCCATAGCAAAAAACAGGATGTAAAAATAAAAGTTGAAAATCCATGCACGTGAGGCATCAAATTTTAAAAATGATGTCCTCGAATTGTACGTTTTCTTAAAAGTACACACAGGAAGGAGAGTGATGATCAATAATTTGAATGTGTAGTTTCAACATGTAGCATTACAATAAAACTGTCGCAAATAGTTAAAGTATCCACAGTAAAAGGCATATTAGGCATAAATGAGAGTCACAAGCTTGTACACAATTGATTCCAAGAAAGTGAAAGAAACTATATGCTCAGAACCAAGAAGTTGGGAAACAAGTTATAATAAAGACCTACGTTGGATTAGGCCCACTTTCAGTCCAAGAAAACGAGGAACTTGACCAACCCATTCACAGTCTCGTCGAGCCAAATAATCATTAACAGTTACAACATGCACTCCTTTCCCGGCCAATGCATTTAGAAAAGCAGGCAATATAGCAACAAGAGTCTTTCCTTCTCCAGTCTTCATTTCAGCTATTTCCCCCTTGTGAAGAACCATTCCACCTATATGACAGCAGATTTCATTTGTGAAGATGAGTCGAAAATCCTCAGTACTGCCAAAACAAAGGTTTGAGTAATTGGATATCCCCTCCCACCCTCCCTATCTCCTTGACAAAACCAAAAGCATAAGGACTGATATGGAAGCATCGAGGCAAACCTGTGTATGAAGAAGCTACAATTGACCTGTATAAACTATAGTTATAATATGACTTCTTTGCACTCATTTTCATAGGAATGCTAAAGAACTGAGAACAAATTTGTTATAATTTTCCAGACATTAATTTGTTGAACCACGCTTCATCATCAAGGGTGAAAAATTAAGAATATGAACCTAATATTTGACTTTCAATTAAACTCTTGTTCATAGAAATTTAAATATAAATGAAGATTTATATACAAAAGATATAAGTGGACAGGGGTCAATAGCTATCAAGAAAACCTGTGATCTAAGTTGGCGACCTCCATTGCAGTTTGGAGAGGTGACTGCATAAGGTCTGCCCTAGTAGTCAATCCAAAGTTATGATGCATATCATAAATTTCTATAAGAATCTAGAGATAGTGTAGATTTGATTGACTTACAAGTATGAACAAATTATAAGCTCTAAGCATCTAGTATAAACTCTTAATTATTATGCTAATGAAATCGTCGAAGAAAGAGCATTCAAGCTACAAAGATCAGAGTACAGATACATCAATAGGGTCGTAATTGACTAATCATCTCACATGTTTCTAAAGAGAGAGCCATTTCTTATAAGAAATGAGTTAACTAACGTAAAGAGAAAGGATAAAAAGATAAGAAAATACAACAAATCAAGCTAAATAAGTTCTAAATTATGAGTTCCCATCAAGTATACACGAGTGCAAAATTGGAGGTACATTTTGGATCTCATTTTATTAACTCCAGGTAAACTAATAATCTCGAGTTAGAAACCAACCTATCAATTGAACGTCAAAAGGGCGAAGGCCTAGAACCCTTCTAGAAGCCTCTCTCACCACAGCAAAGGCTTCCTGCAAGAAAATCAGTTCATTTGGAGCTAAACAACAGCCACTCCGCTTTAAACATTTTCCCAAAAAATTGGTAAAAAGAGGCATTTACTATATATATCCCAATACCAAATCAATTCAGACATGAATAAACATCTAAGACAGAAATTCAACCACTCATATTCATTGATTGGCAAGAAAAGGCTAAGGGGGGCTGATGATTAGACTTACGGGTAAAAGGGAGTCCAGGGAATCACCGTTACGAGCACGTTCTTGCAAGGCAGAGGTCCTTTCCCTCAATTGAGAGTCGGAAAGAGTCGAAATCTCCGGCTCCATTTTATTGATGAGCGCCACGTTGCCACTATACATCTGTCTGGTGGACTCACCGGTATCACCGTCCTTCCCAAATATCCCGCCTAATATTCCACCCAAAGCCGCCCTGGGGCCAACGCACAACCTCCTCAGTCCTCTTGTTCCTTCTCTTCTTCTTCCTCCACCGGCGCTTAGCTTGAGTGAATTGATTCCAAAATCAGCCCTGAGCCAAGTGCTGCTGCGGGAGAGGATGAAGTTGGAAGAAAGTGCTGATGTGCTCAAGGAGGGGCGGCGGTGCACCACCGAAGTTGACTCAAATGGTTGTGCAATTGCCATCTCCCAATACGAAATCAGTAGTGCAAAAATTCAAGAAATGGGGGGATAATATCGTGCTGCTTTGCCTCTTTACTTTATTTCAACTGTTTCTGAAAATTGTGACAAAGCAATGGGTTATGAAGCTCTGTGATTTTCTGCGGTGTATATTGTTGTTTGTTGTGTATGTATGTAGTTGCAGCTTATGACTGTATGTGCGTCCCGCGCGGGGATAAGGTGATTCGGATATTTACAGGTGATTTTTATTTGGCAGTCATTTTTATATAAAAATATATTTTGAAATGGGAAATGTGTGGTTAAAAAATAAAAAAAATTGGTTTACGTGTAATATTATTGAAATAAAAAATATGTGATTGAAAAGAACAGAAAGAAAAATACATTTTGAAAAAAAAAATGTTT